TTTCAAACCATTACCTAAATCGAAAGACATGAGGTAGATTATAACAGTAATGCTGAGTTTGAAACACTTCGTCCCAGGCGGTTCTCGAACTTTCATCTCTCGCAAGACTCGAGAGGTACTTCAGTAACACCCCAAACCAATGGAACAGTAAGGCTTAGCTCGGGGTGTGTGGGGCAATTCTTCTTGAAGGTGGCGAATCGCGTGTTAAGCGTTTTCGCTGCGCTTTGGAAAGAAATTGAGGCCACGGCGCGCGACAGACGCGATTGTCGCGCGCCTGATGAACCTCATCGCCACTTTAGGAAGAAACGCTCATCATCGCCGTCACCAAAAGCAAGTCGTTAACAGCTGAGTTATTTTTAGGTTTTTGATTATACTCTAATTTTAACAACTCATGAGAATTGGCGGTAAATGAATACTAGAAATAGTCAAATGAAGCCCTCAATACCCAACCCTTTGCTGCATTTAAAACCCCTGCAAATTTTTACGCGACGTTATTTTGCATCGAGCTTGCAGGAGAAGCAATAGAAGCAACAAAAGATTCGCATTATTTATTCCAACTTGATGGGATGGCAGTTAGGCGAAGGAGAGCTCAGAGTATTTTTAGACGAGCAAACATATTTGCAATCCATCGAAAAGTAGATAACAAATCTCTTCTTGTGTCCGCAGGCTCCTTCCTTATATAACCTAAAATTAATTGCTTGCGGGAATGTCTGGTGAAAAAATGACTATTAGAACATCTCTGATGAAAACACCGGCATAATGACGGACTAATTAGTGAACTATCAATTAAGAGTATAATTAATGATCCCTTCCGATGATTATTGCAACATATAATCAAATATTACAGGTGGACTCGATAGATTTGGCTTCTTGCCAAGTTCACGGCCACATGCCACAGGTTCCTAATTTTGTGGTAGCCATCGATGTACCCCATTTATTAAGTGAGAGTTTTTAATCGAAGCCTACAATTTGAATGAGGTAAAGAGCTCGTGCATGGCAATAAATTTAGGCCTGTGGACACGAATTTGGCAATCGCTTATCAAGTGTTACATGGGGCTTTTATTGGAAATTGGCAACATGCCAAGTTTGCTTTCACACACCCAAATTTTAATACCACATGTCGCTTTCGAAACTTCTGTTCTCTCCGGGAAAATGCAAATTCAATTTCTTTTTGAATTTTTCAAAATTAAATTCAACTTGGAGCAACGTTCTTTTACACCTGTTTTTCTCTAATTTATTATTTAGCGCTATTTTTCAAGATTTCTGAAGCTTGTAGTGAGCCTACTTATTTTTGCTTTCCTGATTTGGATAAAGTCTAAGGTTCTCCGTCGAAAAGAACGAAGATCGGATATTTTTATTACTTTTTTCACCTTCTTATACTTGAATTTATGGGGGTAATAGGTAATTAAGGTTGGATTATTGCTTCTGTGCACAACTCTGCAGGTAAATCTCAAACATAAAACTTGTTCTTTTTCCTACCGTATCTCCTTATTTAGCAACACTTTTATAAATGCATGTGTATTGCATGTGTAGCAATTCCCTGGACAAATGACATCTACTTTTGTGCTGCTTTCTGGAATAAAGTTTTTCCGGGTTGCCCTGAGAAACCTCGATAATTTAGTCGGAACTTCAAGAAACGACAATCTGTGGTGGTGTTTGTCGTCGTATATCATTGAAGTTATTGAGCTTTCTATTTCCTAGGAAATATTGCTGAACCTTTTTGAATAATTTATAATGAACATAATTATACTAATTGACTAATACCGTCGAATAATTCGTTGCTGGACGTTTTCAACCTGCACACGACACCCTTCTCGATATACGTGTTGTATGTGAACAACCGCTGAATGATCGGTGATCGCTCTTCGAATGCATAATTCGTGTTCGGCAGAAAGTCATTCTCTGGAATGGAGTCGACGAATGGTCGGTTAAGCGCGTGATGTCGAGGCCACAGCGCTGTGGTTTGAATGTGCAATGGGTGTGTGACTATTTTTTTGGTGTTGATTGAAAATTGAAAGTTCGATGCTCAGGGATTGAGGCAAATTGTTCAACACCGGATTTCACATTTTGCCCTTGGGTTCGGTCGCTGCCCACCTGTTCGCATGGCTGTCGTTGTGAATGTAGTGCTCATGTCCCATATGGAGGGACATTCAAAATATCCGCTGGCAGGTGACTCCAGGACTAAGCCCAGGCGAGTGAAGAAACGCCCGGGAGTACCGAAGTTGCTCATGCCCTCGCGCGCAGATCCCTTCCTTCCCTTAGGTGCATTATTCCTAAGTTCTGTAAAACGGCTCCAACTACTTTCAATGTTCCCCCTAACACCCCCAACCCGTCCAATATCACGCCTGCTCCTAGTACTCTCCTTGCTGCATCCTAAGCTTACCAGGAAGGTCTTTCAGGGCGTGCCAAGCTTTTTGAAAACGGTCTTTGCATGATATAGGGGCACATGCGGGAACCACAGAACCATGGTTAATTTTTCCTGAACGGCCCTCTGAATACCAGAAAAGGGGGTCCCTAGTTCGATTCCTCGTGGTGACAAATTTTTGCATTTCGAGTTGACGTTTCAAAATTCGCGCAAAATGGAGTTAGCATGAATAATTAGTACCATATTCATGATTAGGACCGTCAGTAACCCTTACAAATAGACTTTGATTAAAAACTGGTGAAAAAGGTGTGACACCACAGTTGGGCTTCTTGGAGTCACACCTCTCACACCAATTTTAAGTCAAAGTCTTTTTGTAGGAGTTAGCTGACGGTCCTAATCATGAATATGACTAATATCATGCTACTCCATTTTGCGCGAATTTTGGAACGTCAACTCGAAATGCAAAAATTTGTCACCAAGAGGAATCGAACTAGGGACCCCTTTTCTGGTATTCAGAGGGCCGTTCAGGAAAAATTAAACATGGTTCTGTGGTTCCCGCATCTGCCCCTATATCATGCAAAAGACCGTTTTCAAAAAGCTTGGCACGCCCTGAAAGGCCTTCCTGGTAAGGCGTAAACAGATCAGGGGCCAATCAGGTCGTTTCATGGGGGCGAAGCGAACCCCAGAAGGCGGAGCGAGAAATACAAGGGACCTTTTAGGTCAAGTAGAGCGCGCCTATAACCGTGAAAAATCTTATTCATTGTGTTCTCTATTGAACAGCCATATCGTATCCCTTGCCTTCAATGAGGGCTAAATGAAGGATAATAAATGGATTCTTGGCGAGACTAAATGACGTTTCAGGGTCTCAGTAATGAAATTCGTTCACGGTTTATCGTGATGCACCACCTATTTTGGGTATTTTCGATGTGTCTGTTGACGGGGCGCTCCCTTCGACCTCCCAAACCGGAATGGAATATTTGCCGCCGGGTCCCGTGCGTTCCTCGATTGGCGTCATATTGACGATGATCGCTTTTTTGTGAACGTTCTTGTTCAAAAATCTCATTTTCACCAATCTGTGGGGTTGATCTCTGTCTTACCAAATGGCTTATTCATTGTGAAGAATATTTCTTCAGTACCGAAGAAAATTTGTCATCTGGTTATTCTTTAGTAGATGCTTGACCGCTCAGCGGCTTGAACAAAAGCGCAGTCTTGGAAATAACTCGCTATGAAACTTAGAAAATTATTCTAAATTGAATGTTGAGTTTCGATTGATTACAGACTATAATCCACCTTATTATAATTTATTTATATTTAATTACAATTGCTATGCAAATTCAACAAAATTTGCGGGACTGAAATCCTTTATTCTAGAAAAGTAAAATAATGCAATTACTTCACGCGTTGACTAGAGAGAGGCCAACTTTAAATAATTATAGAAAGTACATAGTAATGATGTAATAATAATAATAATAACTAATTAGTCAGAGCTGCTAAAGTCAACTAAATCTTTTACGTGAGACTGTAGTGCATCGTACTCGGGGATGATACCGGTTAATTTTTATCAGTTTTTTTTTTGGGAAAAAAGAAATTCATCAGAAAAGATCCCGTGTTCTCTTTAATGCAACAACTTTTAAAGCTTAAGAATTCCGGCGATCCAATTTCGAAAACTTTAATATTTATTACTATAAATTTTTTTCTAACATTTATTTTTCAAGATTTTTGACATTTGATCATTAGACTATCTGAATCCGATGTACAATTCAGTGCTTTTATCCTCCCAGACAAGGCTGGCACCAATTGCCAGGGCTGCCTAGTCTTGACGAGATTTAAATAGAAAATGATGAAAGATATTCGAAACTCAATTGCTACGTGCACGTGAATTTTCGCACATTCGAAAAAATGACGTGCGTAAAAGTTGTGACGACAAATGTTCGATTTTGAAGAGCGTGAGGAAAATTAACCGCTGGAATCATTGAAAAATTTATTTTTTCTTACTCGGGCGGGGTTGGTCTCTTCATTTACTCACTTTTTTCTTCCACATGGAGATCCTTTATGTAGCGACTTTATGATATTGTGTTATGAGGATATTCTATGACGTTTGTGGGACTTTATGAAAAGCATGCGAAAAAACTCCCACATGG